TGTCAAATAAATAAATAAAATATTTAAAAAAAATAAAGTCACCCAGGGAATAAGTTATGGAGACAGGATTCTAATACAGGCATTTTGACACTTAACCCATGTCATGACTTCCCCACTCTGCTACCATTTCAATGTGGAGGACATTTGAATGGAGAAAGTATAACCAACAACTCCCGTCATCATACTTGTGATGGTTAATTTTATGTGTCAACTTGACTGGGCCAAGGGCTGCCCAGATATTTGCTCAAACATTATTTTTGGATAAGGTTAACATTTAAATAGATAGAATAAAGCAGATTATCTTCACTAATGTGGATGGGCTTCATCCCATCATTTGAAGACTTGAATAGAACAAAAAAGCTGACCCTCACCTTTCTCCTGCCTGACTAGGACATCAGCTCTTTCTGGTCTCCCACCCACCAGCCTCCAGACTGGAACTACACCATCTGCTCTTCTGAGTCCCTAGCTTACCAACTCACCCTACAGATCTTGGGACTTATATGTCCATAATCATGTGAGCCAATTCCTTATAATAAATTCAGATATATATGCGTGTGTGTGTGTGTCTTACTCTTATGAATATATATGGACACACATACATACACGTACATACTACACACACCCACACACACACACACATACCGCCTATTGGTTCTGTTTCTCTGGAGAATCTTGACTAATACAGTACTTCATCTATATGCTTCCACTGGGAACTGAGGTTATTTTTTGAGATCTTTGGATTTTCTCATGAGGAAAATGAGGAAACCATTTCATTATTATTCCTTTAACATGTAAAGACATTATTCACATTATTTTGTGTTGTAACTTAGAGCTTGAGATGAAAAGTCTTAGATGTTCACATGAATAATAACTTTGAACTTTAATTTTCAAGTGATAACAAATACCTAGAAGCTCAGAAACACATATTCATATCTCAATTTAGTCATATAATAAACACTCTAGATATCCAATTTTAGAACTTATCTGTTGCAACTTAAGTCTAGTAAAATGTGAAATAATTTAGGGTTATTTAGTTGTCAAGTTATCATAGTCCATTTTCAGAGTAAAGGTTATTTTTTCAGTCACTGTGTTCTTTCTCCAAAATATTCAATCTATTTACCTGTACCTTGACTTTGCTCTCAGTCTCAAATGGAAATACTGCACTCAGTTTTTCCTTCATAAGCAAGTCTCAACTACTCCCACATACTTTGTAGGATTTATTTGTAGGTTTGGTTGCCACATGAGCTTTGGTAGCTTATTTTTCAAATTAGAAATCTTACACTTGGGAGATGCGCATTCATGCAGATAATCGATCAAATATATAATCTCACATTGAAATGGCATCTCCAATTTCAACAACTGGTGATTTAGTTCCTTAAACAGTTATTGCAAGATAATCAGCTCCTCCAATTGATAAGCATGTTTTGACATGAAATTTGTTTTTTTCATGGTTAGCATACTAAAGTTAAATTAGATAAAAGACCAGTTATTTCCTTTATTTTATGGTCTCTTAAAAATTGCTATTTGGAACATGAAGACTAGATAAATCCCAGTCAAAAAATTAAAATGGAACTCCCCAGGAATGTAAATTGTTTATGGTTTTCTAAAGTTTTTATTTCTCTAATACAATAATATTTATAAACCAGAAGCCTCATTAGCTCTCATTACTCTCATCTTTGTGTTTCTTAAATTAAATCAAAGTAAAGCCTTGTCTTCTTAGATTTTGAAACCTTCCCTCATAACATAAGGAGATCAAAGCAAAGGGATTGTTTGACAGTATAAAGTGGATGTTAATCCTAGAGTTAGTCAGTAGAATTGTTTTAATCATCTTAATGTCTGAAAAGGTAGAAAGAAAAAAAAAACCCTGTTTCTATACTAAACAGCAACATTCTGAACAGTTGGTTGGACCACCCTGGATTTATGAGTTTTTTTAAATCTTACACTCACCTCTCCGAACTACCTTATAAAATTATAAACATATATAACTGATTAACTGATAGTTGAATATAGATGAGATCTAGTTTTTAAAAATGTAATTATTAAAATTAAAATGTTTCCTGTTTAACTGATGAGTTATCTGAATGATTCCCCACTTATTTGGAGGGAGGGATAGCTACATAAATTAGATTAGACCCTTATTTAGCCTTGCTAATTATTGTGTACTGCAAAGGAATCAAAATTATATAATTTTCTATTGTTACTGGTTGATTTACTGTAGTATTTCAGTCTTTCCATATGGGAATTATAAGAAATTACTGATCAATATTGAGGATACAATCTTCATTGTGTTCTAATGTTCTTTCAGTTATAAATTTTAATGATTTTTTTTTTAGATTTTATTTATTTATCTGTCAGAGAGAGAGAGAGAGAGAGGGAGGGAGGGAGAGCATGAGCAGGGGAAGGGGCAGAGGGAGAAGCACGTTCCACACTGAGCAAAGAGCCTAATGTGGGACTTGATCCCAGGACCCTGGGATCATGACCTGAGCCGAAGGCAGATGCTTATCCAACTGAGCCACCCAGGCGTCCCTCAAGATGTGATTCTTTTATAATTCATTCATATTCTCCCTTTCCCTTTCTTCCCCAACCTCCCCTAAAGCCCCCAACCTACTCCCCACCCTCCCTACCCCCCAGCAAAAAAAAGCTACATCCTGAACTTTCCCTTTTCTTGAGAGCATATCTTTTCAAATCAGCATTTTCTTTCTGGTGTGATTTGTTTACTTTATAACCTATGTAACTAAATTGTTTTTCATTTGCAAGTCCCAAGTAATAGCTAGATAAAAACTTTGTTTTTAAGAAAGATTTTATTTATTTATTTGAGAGAGAAAGAGAGAGATCATGAGCAAGGGGGAAGGGTTAAAGGGAAAAGCAGACTCCCGCTGAGCAGGGAGCCCTGGGATCATGACCTGAGCTGAAGGCAGACGCTTAACCAACTGAGCCACCCAGGCGCCCCTAGCTTTATAGCAACATTTTAAAACACCTCTGTACATGTATGACTGTGCTCAGGATACAGCTATAATTTTTCTTCTAAGTTGCTTTGTGTGGTATTCAGTATAAATAAGAGCAATCTCAATAATTACCCTAGTCCATCACCTTAGAATTGGATGCCTCCTCAAGTCACAGAGGAGTGGACCCAGTATTGAAAATGAAACTAGCATTTTACTGTGTGACAATACGAACAGACAATATGCTTGATTATTTAAAAAAGTTGTTGTTGTTGTTGTTTTTCTAATGTAGGAAAAAAGGCCCAGACTCAGAGACATGTGGAGCTCAACTGGAGAGATAGTTGGGGGAAATAGGGTTTAACTATAATCTGGTTTTCAAACATTCCCTAGGACTTTAATCTTAAAAACCCGGCACTTTGGCAGACAATTTGTAAGATAAGAGTCATTAGTAGTGTTATAATTTAAAGGTGAAGGCACAGAAAATACTTCCTCACTCTGGTTATCTCCTTTCTGACAAGATTAGGCAGGCCTTTGGGGCCTACATGATCCTTTGCATTGAACCATGAGTCAGACTGCAAACCACAGGATGATGAACACATCTGAACTTTCCTCTTTATTTCAAAACTGATGATACCTAGGCATTTTTATGGACAGGATAATTTTATTTCTTTATTATTGATTACATCTAAAAGTAACCCTGTTATAATCTGTGTAGAAAATATTCTGGTAGATTTTCGGGAAGAAATAATTAATAAACAATTTTAAGCTACAGTTACTCTTCATTGATGGCACATCTGAGTTATAACAGAAAACTTCTTAAACTATTAAATAGATTATACCAACAGTGTATAAGAGATGAAATAATAGTATTTGCTACTTTTCATTCTTACTGTGTCAGGCACTGAGCAAAGCATCCTGTATATAGTATCTTACATAAGCTTTATAAAAATCTCTAAGGGAAGAGTTAATATTCCAGTTGTACAGATGAGAAAATGATAACTTGGTCGCATAGTTAGTACGTGGTTGATCAGGGACTCAAGCCAAGGTAGGCTTGACTTCCAGGCCCACATCTGCAATTTTACCCTGCACAGCCTTCACACACTAACTGTTGTCAGCATCAGTCTTAAAAAGACACATAAATAGCAGAAAGAACACAAACTTTTGTGTGGTTTGAAATATATCTCATTTGTTAGTGAATGGCTGGAAAAGAACGAGGGAGGAGGGAAGGACAACGTATTAAGGAAACACTGGCCTAAGTACCAGCCAAATGCCCCCAAGTTAGTGCCTTTAACATAATAATTTTTGCTTTCCTTTTCTTTTTTTAAAGATTTTATTTATTTCTCTGACAGAGAGAGAGACAGCGAGAGCAGGAACACAAGCAGGGAGAGTGGGAGAGGGAGAAGCAGGCTTCCCGCCGAGCAGGGAGCCCGATGTGGGACTCGATCCCAGGACCCTGGGATCATGACCTGAGCCGAAGGCAGACGCATAACGACTGAGCCACCTAGGCGCCCGCTTTTATTTTCTTGCTCACATGAAGTCAAAACAGGGATTCCTGATAAATAGAGAGCTTTCCTATAACATTTCCTGTAAGTGATAATGCAGTTCCTTCTTTCTCATGGCTTTGCCATTTTCAGTATGTGACTTGTCAGGGCTCCCCAGTGATGGGAAATCACAGTGGGTTGTGATCTGGAGGTTTGCATGGTCCAGGCCTAGGAGTGCCATACATCTCCTTTGCTCATTTGCCACCGGCAAACGTTCAGTCACACTGTTACACACAGAACTCCAAGGCAGGCCGAGAGATGGTGCAGGTATGTGATCTGAAAAAAAAAGAAGAGTAGTTTGATGTTATGGCTTGTTGTTCTGGACTTGAGCACCACAGAAAGGTGAGCAGCAACCTGGTAGTGATAAAGAGAAACTACTGGCCACTCGTACAGTTAAGCCAGCATTATCTTTAATTCTCTTTTCTCTACTTATTCTTATTAATGCTTTCCTCTTTCACAGCCTTTAATTTTTGTTTTTAGGTTTGAGAGGGAGCCAGAACAGCAACTTAAAAATAACAGAAACCAACCTGCCAACCTCTCAAAAATGAAGGTGAAATCAGGACATCTTGGTGGGTCTCAGTCAGTAATTGTCTGACTCTTGATTTCGGCTCAGGTCATCATCTCAGGGTCCTGGGATCCAGCCCACATGGGGCTCTGTGCTCAACAGGGAGTCTGCTTGAGGATTTTTCTTCCTCTGCCCCTCCCCCCATGCATGATCTTTCTCTCTCTCTCTCAAATAAATAAATAAATCTTTTTAAAAAATGAAGGTGAGGGGCACCTGGGTGGCTCAGTTGGTTAAGTGACTGCCTTCCGCTCCAGTCGTGATCCCAGGGTTCTGGGATCGAGAGCCCCACGTCGGTCTCCCTGTTCAGCGGGGAGCCTGCTTCTCCCTCTCCCTCTGCCTGCCACTCCCCCTGCTTGTGCTCTCTCTCTCTCTCTGTCAAATAAATAAATAAAATCTTTTAAAAAAATTAAAAATAAAAGTGAAATAAATACATACTACACATAGTAAGATGGTAGATCTAAACCCAACTCAGCAATCCTACTTCTTGATATTGACTCAAATGAGATAAAATGTTATGTCCACACAAAAACTAGTAAGCAAGGTTGCAAATTTTTTGTAAGTTTATATAAGTTATAAGCAACTCAAATATTCATCACCTTGTGAATGGATGAATAAAATACAGTAAATCCATACAATAAAATACAGCAATAAGGAACAACCTACTTATACATGCAAAGACATGAATGAATTTCATTATTATGCTAAGGGGAAGAAGCCATCCACAAAAAACTACATACTACATGATTCCATTTATATGAGGTTCTAGAAAAAGCAAAACAGCAGCACCAGAAAGCAGATCAGTGGTTGCCAGAAGCTGCAGGGGCAGGAAGAGGATTGACTACAAAGAGGTAATAAAGGAACTTTTGGGGTGTGAGGGAATTGTTCTATACCTTGATTGTGTGTATGGTTACAAAACTGTATACATTGAATTATACATTTAAAATTGTCCCTCAGTAAAGTTGACATTAAAATGAATTAATAATTTGACAATCGTATCTTTAAAAACAGCAAGTTGACATTACAAGTGAGCTAGTGAATACCTTTCTTTAGAATTTTATTTATTTATTTGAGAGAGAGCGAGAGAGAGCATGAGTGGGGGAGGGGCAGAGGGAGAGTGAGCAGCAGACTCTCCATTGGGCAGGGAGCCTGATGCGGGACTCCATCCCAGGACCCTGGGATCATGACCTGAGCCAAAGGCAAACGCTTAACGGACTGAGCCACCCAGGCGCCCCACTAGTGAATACCCTTGAAATAAGACCCAGCGTGGGGAGAAGGGTAACTCATTGGGAGAATGTGAGGGGAGAAGATCGGTAGAATAACCCATGTTGCAGGAATCCTGGGACTGAGCGTATTAATAGAGGCCCTAATCCCCTCTCTATAGGTGTCTATTAAAATGTCCCTGAGAGTTTTGGCTACTCTCTTAACAGAAAAAGTGACTTCATGACAGCTAGTTTACTAACTGATTTCATGGTGAAGGCATCAGGTAATATGGCAAGTTGGAATACCCTTGTGTTTGCTACCTAGCTCCAAACAGCAAACAAACAGGCCTCATTTAACTAATTGAGGCCAACTGGTTCGGGTCTTAAGCAGTCACTGGATTAGAACAGATGACACATGCTTTTGAGATAGATGTGTATAAACCATTTTAGAGCCTGAGGCAGAGCATATCATACTACATGTGGAGCAGCATGGGCCACAGCTAGGGAAGGAAAGCAAACTTTAAACCAAGGAACAAGTTGATGGTAATGCCAAATGTAAAGTTAGAAGAGGGCGCTGAAAATGCACCTGTCCACTTCTAAGGTTCATTAATGGGTGTAGAAGCTGGATAGTTTTAAAACCTTTCTAAACAGGTAAATGCAGTTGATTTTTCTTTCTATCTGCTTACTATATAATCTCTCATTTAACTGCTTGATTTTTATTAGTGTATTATTGGTATATTTAAATTAAAAAAATAAAAGTAATATATGAGGGAGATTTATAAGAAAATTTGAGCAAATGCAGAAATGTATAAAAAAGAAAATTGAAAACATCTTTTCCCATTGCCCATGCCTACTGTCCTCTAGAAACATAATTCATGGTAAAGTGTCTTGATTTTTGTATAAATGTGACTTTATGCTGTAGCACCTAAGATTTTGAGATTTATTTCTTTTTTTTTTAAGATTTTATTTATTTTTGAGAGAGAGAGAGCTCACATGCAAGCAAAGGGAGGGAGAGGGACAAGCAGACTCTGTGCTGAACGCTGAGCCCAGTATGCGGGCTCGATCCCACTACCTCGAGATCATGACCTGAGCCGAAATGAAGAATTAGACACTCAACCAACTGAGCCATCCAGGCTTCCCGAGATTTATTTCTAATTCTCATACATATTTATATCATCTAGCATCACTGATTTTTTTTTCTGTAAAAACTTTGCTTTCCCATTTGCCTTGACCATTCTCCATTATCTCAGTTAGAGGCATACCATTCATGTATAGGCACAAGGCAAAATGTTAGGATCATTCTTGATTCCTTTTTTTGCAAAATTATACTCCAAAGCCATCAACAAATATCTTCAGACCCGCTCCCAAAATATTTTCAGTGTTCCACAACTTACCACATCTACTACTACCACACCTAGAGTGAAGGCCCCATTTCTCTCCTAACTAGTTTCCCTGATTCCACTTCTACCTTTTAAAGTCTGTGTTCGTGGAATTATGTCCTATCCCTGCTAAAAACCATCCAGTGACTTTCTGGACACTGGACTGAAATCCAGACTTCTTCATGGCCTACAAAGCCTGATGTTTGGCCTTTGGCTACTTCTCTGATCTCATCTTGTCCTTCTCTCCCTCTAGTTTTCCTCCTTGCTGTTCTGAAAATAAATTCAATGCATTTCTTTCTGAAGATCTTTTGTGTTTGGTTGGTTTTTGCTTTTTATTCTATCTGAAATGTTTTTCCTCAGAACTCTGTGTGGCTCATTCTTTTATATTACTCAGCAATCTGCTTAAATGTCACCTCCTCAAAAAGTTCTTGCTCTATAATATCACCCCATCCCATCATAACATTAATCCCCTTATCCTACTTCTTGGTCTTTCTAGCATTTACCACCACTTGAAAATAATGTATATACCTATTTTATTGTCTATCAGACACACAAGTGTTTACTCCATGAGGGCATAGACTTAGTTTATTAATTATAATACTTACATCCCTAGAAGAGTGCCTATTATAGAATAAGCACTAAATATTTTTTGAATGAATGAACCTTCAGCCTGTCTAGCTATTTAGATAGTTTAACGAAGAGCTTTCTACTTCATTGAACTGTTCTCACTACTGTGATTACCAAGCACAGATCAATTGGAGATATCTGTTATTTTTCTCTTTGAGACTTGGGCAGAGCTAACCAAAAATAAGTGAACTAAGTCCAGTACTGGTTTTTAATATGTTATCAATAACGTAATACACTAGACTGGGTGATTAATTATGTGTTAGAATCTTTGCCTCAAAGTAGATAAAGAAAAAAAAATAAAGAAAATAGTGTTGATGTTTGTGTATTTCAGAGACTATTTATTCTATTTTTTTTTTAAATATACGATCTCATTTCTCAGGAAATCTTGACAAATATCTTGCTGTGGAAGGTTAGGTCCATCAGTGTCAATCACACATTCATTTGCTCCAGACGCTACCCTGGCTTTCACAACTCTCCAGGCTTGCAGTGTTCTATATTAAGCTGCATCACTCTGATCCAGCTGGTTCTGGAACACTGCCAAAGCTATGGACATCTTCAAAGGCCTTTTTAAAATTGCAGGGTGGAACTGTGTTTCGAGAGTTTGTTTGCCTTCATGATGTAGATGATGAGCTTTCTAAACTTTGGACAGCATTGGTAATAGTTTCATCTATTTATATCAACAAGAATACACGAAAGAACTAAGAAAGGAAAACTTTAACCATTTTTTACATTCCCCAATTTAAACTAATGAGATACGAAATTCAAAAGCACTCCCAAGATATCCTTCCCCCCTCCCAGGATATGTAACAGCTTAATCCATTACGCTGGTCCTGTCATTCACTTGGCAAGATGATACCTAGTCATCAAGTAAAACAGTCAGTTAAGGGAAATGTTTTACTTTGTTCATGGTTGCTAGTGAAATTAGATGATTTGGGGGGGGGTGGCAGGGAGCAGGGAGAGAGAGAATCCCAGGCAGGCTCCATGCCCAGTGCAGAGCCAGACACGGGGCTCTGTCTCACAACCCTGAGATCATGACCTGAGCCAAAATCAAGAGTCAGATGTTTAACCGATTAAGCCACCCAGTCACCCCCAAATATAGATACTTTAAAGTAAATTTAGGACTTCAGTCCAAAATATCTCCAAACCTGCATTAATGAAAAGATGTCTCCACTAAATGTTGCCTGCAGGTTTCACATACTCAAGTGGTCCTTACTTTAAGGAAAACAATATAAATCTCAAATATGCCAGTAATTTAATGTAGTAATTAGACATTGATACGATATATAATATTTTGACATGCTTGGCTGTGGAGGGACTAGGACAGGAAGAATGGACTTACTAAAAACCGGGTTGTAAACTTTTGTCTTATGTTGGCAATATAATGAAATCTGTCTAAAGCAGCAATGGTGATAGTACTACTGGGAAGCAAGTCTGATGCAGTGGAGGATCTGCGGGGATTACTCGGCATAAGCTTAAAAGTTGTTTTGTTTTTTTTTAAATTTATTT